TCATCAACCTCCAGAATAGATTCTCCCATCTTTTCTTACAACATTGTTTATATTGAGAAGATGGACAGCTCTAACTATTCCAGTTGGTATTCGACACCTGGTTATGGTTAAGTGGGTTGAGCTACAAATCTCGTCTTACTATCACTACTGAATTCATTCCTACATAAAATCGTGAATTGCTTTTGTTACATGGAGCATGAGTTGCTTTTGCATTCAACAACCCCACTTTGTTTGGGTATAAGGACAAGATGTTCATGAACACTATAAAGGTCTTACAGACAAGTACACGTGTACATTACCACTTTGTAAAGTGTGAATAGGGACACCAAATTGATTGTTGATTTCATTAAAAAGGGATTGATAAGTAGAAAATAATTTTGAACATCTTTAATTGAATATAATCACATGCAACGGGAACAGTCTTCTATAAAAGTAACAATATCTTGACTTTAATATAGAATCAATCTAATAAATCCTAATATCCACCGCTACTATATTTACAAGATTCTAGCAGGATGAAATAAAGCGTGAAGTGGTCATCAATTAAAACATGAGTGGTTCTTACAGTTCAGAACGACTTACATCTGTCTCAGAGATTCAACTGATGGTTTTTAAACTAAAGTTTTAATTGATTATGGATCAAATGATGACCACTTCGTAATACTCAGGATGGTTTGAACCTAGTACTGCACTTCAATTGTCAGTTTGCTAATGATTTGGAAGGCTGGACCATACCAGCTGATGGACCAGTTTCTGGTTTAAATTTTATGTTCTAAACAGGAAGTTGCATATTCAATGGACCATTTGAAATGTGGTAAGATGTAGTAGACACTTAATGTGTATAACTCGAAAAGAGATTTTCATTGTAGGGCGCTCAAATGCAATAAATATAGCTGAGAGGTTGGGACTACCATCTGTTGTTGTAGATACTGCTCGTAAGTTATATGGTTCTGCTAGTGCAGAGATAGATGAGGTATGAGTACTCTGAGATATATCTTAATTATATTTATTATTTGGAAATGGTTGTGTATGATATTCTAAGAGCATGATGTTTATTTATATTATTGTTTTAAATTCAAGTAATGAATTGCCTCCATATATTTACCACATTATTAATTCTAATTTTTTTACCTTGTATTTGGATAAGAAATTTCCCAATTTTTAAGATATTCAAATAGATTGAATTTGAATTGATCTCCCTTCAAATTGTTTCATTTTAAAAATGTTTTGTTTGGATAACTCAATTCAATTTCCTGAATATTAATTGCCTTCTTTGAATAGAGTATTTCAAGTACCACCAAATACAAAAATTATTTATATATCAAATAATTGTTAAAAATTAAAATATATCAAAATTGATTATCTTTTGCAGTCAATTTTAGTTGATGTTATTTTTTGGTCAAACTTCGTCAAGGTTTATTTAACTGATAGTCGTAAAACTTTTCCTTGATTAATATTAACCAATATTGTTTTCAGTTTATGTCGAATACAATTTAGGCTGAAATCAGTCAAAATTATTTTTTACAAAGTTGATGATGATTGGGGTTTTGTGTCAACTTTTTTATCAATGTCAAGTGGAAAATTTCTCCAATCAACATTGGTAAAAAAGAAATCCTAATTAATGTTTGCTGAAAACTTTCCAGTTAACATTAGGGAAAAAAAATAACAAACTATTGATAACAAAATAACATATTTGTTGATAAAAAAATCACTGCAAACATTAACCAAAAAAAATAATAACAATAGACATTTGTTAAGAAGTAAGGTGAGATTTTCACCTACTTATTTTTGCTAAAATAGGTTTTAACCCATAGGCCTGATACCATGTTAAGAAGTGGACTTTAAACCTAATTCAACCCTACAAAATCAGATTGTAAAGTGAGGTTTGTATCCACTTATATACTATGGAATCTCTTTATCTCTAGTGAGACTTCTAACAATATCAATTGAAAAAAAAATTAATTCACAACCATAATAAGTTAGTCTCTCTAATATTAGCCAAGGAAAACTCTAACTAATGTCAAGCAAGAAATAATAATGGTTTATAAAAAAAACGTTCTAACAACTTAAATCATAAAACAACTCCTAGTAACCTCAATAAGAAAAACCCAGGTCGACATCAACCAAAAAGTAGTTATCTCGACAATCTCTCAATCTTAGTCAAATGGATGATGTCCAAAACCAAAATTGGGCTGAGGGGATAATTCGAAGAGTAAAGTGGAATTTGAAATTATATAACTTTAAACAATCCAATTACTTTAATGGAAATTCAATTTCTTTTGAATTCCGTACCCAGACAGCGTATTTTACCATAAAGCATTTCAAATTCTTTAAAAAAATGAATTACCCTATTAATTGCCTATTCAAACACACTATTAATGTATTGCAAATATTATAGTTGTTTTAACGTAGTTTATTTTTCATCTAGGTAATAACTGATATGGAAAGGTTGAAACAAAATTACCAAGAGCTGATGGATGAAGCGCGTAATTATCTGATGTGAGACTCTTTGCTTTAAAAAATATTAAATTCATTGCATGCTTTATCCCCGTATTTGTATTTCATGCAATATTTAAAAGAGAGGTCATTTCCTGATTACAACATGGGCACTTATTTCTGTATCTAATATTGGAGTAAGCTCATTCAGTTGTTAATGCATTCAAGGAAAAATGGATCAGGCAATCGTATTTACATCTTGCTTTAGTTGTGGACTGTTAATATTCTTTTTCTTTAGTTATTATCAGAATTGTCAATGGTTGTAATAAGGCTTCCATCTCTCTGTTTTAATAATTGGGGAGAATTTGTTAGACTAACCACCTGTAGGTTTAGTTAACCTGGGTTCTCTTCTATGCAATGGATGGAAATGTTGGTTAACGATGAAGGATTCATTTATTTGAGCATTGAACCAAACATATATTTAGTAACAGTAATTGTTAGTAATTAGTAATATATGCAAGAGTCTGTGTTATATATTAGTATTACTAGTAGATAATCCATTCAAAAAATTTTATTATGGAAATATAATCCTAGTAAACTTATTCAGATTCTTTAGTAGGGTCTAATCAGATTGCAAAAATGAGGAAAATGAGGATATCATCTTCCCATACTTGTATTATGACTAATTGTGCACAAACCATTTAGAATCGACTTATGTAAGTTTTTAATTGGTAATTTTCTTAGTGTTTTCTTTTTGTTTGTAACCGTAGGCACTCCAGAGGACTTTACAATAGTCTATTGAACACCAGAAGGAAGATTGTGAAACATACTACTGATATACAATTAAAGAAGATGAGAGATGTATCCGAGGCTGCGGCAATGGCAAGATCCATCCTTCACAAGAAAGTGAGGGAGTTGGATGTATCAGCTAAGCAACCTCCACAGAACACTAAAACTATTAGCAGCTCTCATTTATCAGCAACCAACAAAAGCCAAACTGCAGCAAATAACAGAAAATCTGTTGTTGCTGATAGAAATACAGCTGCCGTAAAAGTTTTTAGTCAATCATCATCAGGTTCAGGTATGTACAAAGATAATGAAACATGAGGGGTATAGAAGGAAACCTAACTGCAATGAGTTAATATATTTAATTTCTTGCATCTGAATTAAGAGTACTGCTCTAGTTTATTTTTACCTGCTGATAGCACACGGTAAAGTTATGCTGTCTAGTCTTAGAGTGAGGATTAGAATCATAGAAATATTGATGCAAATGTCATTCACCTTATTGATCTTGCAGATAAATCTAAGCCTCCCAAGGTTGGTGATAGTGTTCATATCTCTTCCCTTGGGAAAAAAGTGACGGTTTTAGAAGTAGATTCATCCAAAGGAGAAATTGTAGTTCAAGCTGGAATCATGAAGTTGAAGCTGAAACTAACTGACGTTCAGAGATCATAGAAGTAGGGAAACCATGACCAATGTCATAAATGAGTAAGTCTTTTCTGTTTGCATAGGATCATATGGTGTGTCTTTTTCTAACTGCATAGTAATAATAACCACCCTGCACCACATGAAAGTCCATATATTAATAGAAATTATGCAGCATCAAGTTTCGAGAATTAAAAGTTGATTTTTTATAATTTTTATTTTAGAAATCAGCACATTTTGTTGTGCAACTAAGTATAGACGGGGCCTTGGGCCTTACTCCATCCCTTGATTAGAGGTGGGTAAGGAGACCAGTCTGGCCCACTTAAGAACCAGTGGATCCCATGTTTTAAATGAACCAGATAAGTCTGATCTTTGAAATAAATGGCCTTCATTTTTTTTTGTATTGGATCGCCACAAAAGACCCTTGATAAACAGACTAGTCCATAGACTCAATGATAATCCGAAAAATTGAAAAATATATCAATTTAAAAGAAATTTGTTTATTTTTTCTTTCCTTTGTTAGGATAAAATATATCAAACTAATATCTACTACATTAAAATCTATCAAGTCAAACTAAAATCTACTAAACTCAACAAAATTTCCTTTTTTAGTTTATTACTTATGTAATATTTTCATCTAAAATGCTGCAATATCAAGTCCACGGGTTTAACAGACCGAGCCTGTAAACTGATTATAATTATGCTGATTTCCAAAAACGAGTTTGTTATCTGTAAAGTCTGCACACTTAAGTATGGGTTCAAAAATTTGGATCTATATAGCCACCCTTTTCTGTGATGAACCAGCAGCAATCCCGAATGTTTTTGCTATTAACCGAAGAAACATGAATAGTTTTGTATTGCATCTCTAGTATGGTATCTCACATGAGAATCCTTTACACAAGTGCATCCATCTTGTACTAAATGTTAACTTTTAACTTATTAGAAGAATATATATGTAAGAAGAGAACACTAGACAATTTGATCATAGACTGCGACACCCAAACGGTTTTATTATTTTTATTTTTCATCTTTAACAACCCTTACCCTCTAGAAGTCCAAAATATATGTTTAACTTATTTGTATGCCCTTGAAAAGGGAAAATGTGCATTGAAAGTGCTATCATACGATGTGGCGTTAGAGGAAAAAAAGGTGGGGGGATTTTCAATATCAGAAACTTCAGTTCCTAGATTTAGCCGGATGTGTCAAACAATACAGTTTTGCAATGTCATCAGCTGTGCAAATAGTTGGCGTGCTAATTATGCAAGGTACATTTTCTTGATGATGCATACAAAATTCTATTGACTGATCTGCAATTTAAGCAACTTAAACTGTTTATGGTTTTGTCTCGTTGTCAGACTGTGAAATAAAGAAGAAAACAAGCTATTCAGTTGAAGTTGTGAACATCACATGGTGCTTGCTTGGTGGAAAGAACAGTGACAGGTATTCATAGAAAACAAAAAGATTACGGTATTCTACCCTTTGTTTCTTTTCACTTTATATTGAAATGAGCCCTCTTATTTTGTTAGGTGCGATTTATTTTTGGTACTGCTGATCGTATTATCTATAGAAATGAACCCCTTTGTTTTGTATTGTCTATTTTAGGCCTTTTTTGACACTGATGGAGATGGAATGTCCCTACTCTCTTGAAGAAGATTCTACCGGATTCCAATTATGTGATTGGATTCCTTTAACTGAAAAACACCTTCCACGCCCTCCTTACAAAATCAATTTCTGAAAGGGGATCATGGCGTGACTGTAGAAACGCTTTTTTATCTGCTATAGTACAATGGCGATAACCAAGTCAGAATCTAGGATCTTGTACAAATCATCTCGATTCCCCAACCACTAGCCCCACCCTTGTGGCTTAGAAAGATTGAGTGTGGTAAAAACACAAGGTTGATGTACAAAACTAGTTTTCTTTTTTCCAACACAGTTTTGTGTAGGGTGTTTGTTTCTGCATCAAAATGTATGAAATGCAGTTTTTTTCATAAGCAACCTAGTGAAGTTTCTTTTTGTTCTTTTTAAGAAATAGAAGTGATTTTACATTCTCAAATGCATGTCCAAACATATGTAATTATTGTAGTTTATTGCCCCCATCTACTGATTTAGTTTTAATTTCTTTTTGTGGTACTGTCAGGGAATAAACGGAGTAATTTTGNCGACACCCAAACGGTTTTATTATTTTTATTTTTCATCTTTAACAACCCTTACCCTCTAGAAGTCCAAAATATATGTTTAACTTATTTGTATGCCCTTGAAAAGGGAAAATGTGCATTGAAAGTGCTATCATACGATGTGGCGTTAGAGGAAAAAAAGGTGGGGGGATTTTCAATATCAGAAACTTCAGTTCCTAGATTTAGCCGGATGTGTCAAACAATACAGTTTTGCAATGTCATCAGCTGTGCAAATAGTTGGCGTGCTAATTATGCAAGGTACATTTTCTTGATGATGCATACAAAATTCTATTGACTGATCTGCAATTTAAGCAACTTAAACTGTTTATGGTTTTGTCTCGTTGTCAGACTGTGAAATAAAGAAGAAAACAAGCTATTCAGTTGAAGTTGTGAACATCACATGGTGCTTGCTTGGTGGAAAGAACAGTGACAGGTATTCATAGAAAACAAAAAGATTACGGTATTCTACCCTTTGTTTCTTTTCACTTTATATTGAAATGAGCCCTCTTATTTTGTTAGGTGCGATTTATTTTTGGTACTGCTGATCGTATTATCTATAGAAATGAACCCCTTTGTTTTGTATTGTCTATTTTAGGCCTTTTTTGACACTGATGGAGATGGAATGTCCCTACTCTCTTGAAGAAGATTCTACCGGATTCCAATTATGTGATTGGATTCCTTTAACTGAAAAACACCTTCCACGCCCTCCTTACAAAATCAATTTCTGAAAGGGGATCATGGCGTGACTGTAGAAACGCTTTTTTATCTGCTATAGTACAATGGCGATAACCAAGTCAGAATCTAGGATCTTGTACAAATCATCTCGATTCCCCAACCACTAGCCCCACCCTTGTGGCTTAGAAAGATTGAGTGTGGTAAAAACACAAGGTTGATGTACAAAACTAGTTTTCTTTTTTCCAACACAGTTTTGTGTAGGGTGTTTGTTTCTGCATCAAAATGTATGAAATGCAGTTTTTTTCATAAGCAACCTAGTGAAGTTTCTTTTTGTTCTTTTTAAGAAATAGAAGTGATTTTACATTCTCAAATGCATGTCCAAACATACGTAATTATTGTAGTTTATTGCCCCCATCTACTGATTTAGTTTTAATTTCTTTTTGTGGTACTGTCAGGGAATAAACGGAGTAATTTTGTTGCTATTGCAAGTTGCAACTAGGCATGAGATACAGTAGCTTACTGGATCCGAGGTTTAAAAATATTTTCTTAAGAAAATGGCCAAGTTGGAAAACAATTACCTACTTGACTTTAACATAAAATAAAGTTGATCAAATTAAAAATGCAAAAGATTTTGAATTCAAAACTTCCACCAAGTTGGTGGAACTTCCTTCATCAAGCACTAATGGGTAGCTGAAAGGAAATCACCAACTAAGAAGGAGAAATTGATATACTGTGCTTCTGTTCATGCAACTGCTAATGCCATGTGTTGCTTGGTATTTACGATTTTGTGGTTATAAAGCTTCAAATTTTACTGTCATTTTTCATTTGGGCATACAAGACTGTAATCAGAATTTTTGTTTTCACAAAGCTCAAGAGTCTTTCGTTTGAGTTGTGTTTTAGTTTGTAACAGAGTCACGACAATACCTTTTTCCACAAGATAATTAGTTAGTGGAATTAACTTTATGTTTTGAATTTGCATTGTGTTTTGACTTGGCTTCCTAAAAAATATTGCACATAACGAGGTATTCCAGCTTTACATCACACGCCACTAATGGAATTTGCTTTTGTACTAGTCCTTGTACTTTCTGCCATTGTTTATTTCTGCTGCATCATACACCACTACTGTTGTTATCTTGCACAGATTCAATTAAATTTTCAAGCTGTTACCCATAGACCATAATTTTGAACATTTTACATGAGGCAATAGACATTAGTTTAAATTCTCAAGCTGAAAAATTTGTTGATTATTCTAAATTATACAACAGTACCTGCAACAGTAGCAGGCATCAACTTCCCACCATAGGTAGTGACATATAAATATACATTCATTAAAATAACTAAATGCTTTAGCATCATACCATTCACTATAGCGTACTTTCTCTCTGTTTTAGTCTTGTATGTTCCTTGGATTACTGGTATGAAAAACTAGAGTGGTACTCAAGTTAAAATGTACTTGTGCTAGAAAAAGAAAACACATTAATTTTGCACAAGTTTAAGATTTTAGATGGATTGGACAATTCATAGAAGAGATTAAAATATTATCTTTTTAACTTGAAATTTCTAAAATAAATAATGTAAATCGATCTGTTTATGCATTGTTTATTTTACTCATTTATGTTTAATATAAAACGTCCATTGATTTTTTTTTGCAATTAACAATTGTTGATGAATATAATCTTTTTATGTGTAAAGATGAATTCTTCACAACAAACCATTGTTGATGAATATACTCTTTCTATGTATAAAGAACTAACAACAATGATCAACACTAAGAAATTGAGTTACATAATTTTCCAAAAATGTGGAATACAAATTGGATTATTTTTCGTTAGGGCATTATATAGGGATGTCGTTAACAACTTTTTTTAATTATTGCAAAGGTATTTTCCAATTTAAGTATAATTTATTAAAAAAAAAAACAAGTAGATATTTTTATTATTGATCACAAATGTCCTATTTTATTGAATGAAAAAATTAAAGAGTTAAAAAAATTCAAATTAAGAGAGAAATAACGGGAACAAATTATTAAAAATCAAATATTTAAAATAACACCTTTTTTTTAAATTTAACTGGAAGCAATAATTAAATTAGATAAAGAAAATATATTTGAAAAAAAATAAAGTAAAGAAAAAATTAATATAGAACAATTCTTTAAAGGTAGTTTAATTCAAGAATTAGATATTGATTTTATAAGTTAGAATTGAATTGTATAAAAAAAATATATAAAATGGAGAAAAACATCTATACCCACAATTAATTTAAATTAAAATATTTCTCTATTTTTAATTTTAATGCATTTTAAATCTAAATTGAAAACATTCTTATTTTCTCGTTTCACGCAAGAGAGAGACAGGGAACAGTCTACATTTTTTTTTCTAACATTATTCTTATTTAAATATTATTAAAAGAAAGTATTAACGTTCTTCTTTACGTAATTCCATTAACTTTATATTCCGCCTTCTTAGTCTTAGGACGAAATTAACTCTCTATTTTGTATCAAACTACCATAATTTGCTTTAAAATTATTAAGCTAATTTAGTTTTTAAAAAGTGTGATATTATATATAGTTATTTGATTTTTTATTTCTAATATGCACACATCTCGGAAATGATTTTTGATGTTTTATTTTAGCATTCACAGAATATTCTCTTTGCATCTTCGTCTCTGTTGAACTTCTTTTCACCATCAAATGAAAAAAAAAATGTATTCATTATTTTCTATGGAAACTTTTTAAAATAATAAAAAATGTTTTTTTTTTTATTTTTTTATTAATAAACTTTTGTAATAGTTACTGCTAGATATTCTTTATAGTCGACGGTGATATCTCACATAAGTTTTATAAAAAAAAATAAAAAAAATACTGAACCTAAACGGAATATTGTTATTTGCGTTTTTGGTGGTGTGCAGACAAAACAGAAAAGAAAAAAAAAAACAAAATATCTTCTTTTCCGGTACCAATTACATCTAATAACATCACAAGTCACAAATAAAAACCCATATTTATGCCATAAGTCTAAGTCACTCAACCCTTCGAATAAAATGTGACCTTCTTATATATTATATTATGAAATTGTTTAATTTTAATCCTCGGATTATCTGTCTTTTATGTGGGAATGGATGGTCGATGACCACTTCATAGTAAGATAGAATAATATGTTTAAAAAATAATAAATCTTTGTTAGAATTGTTTTGATCCCATATTAAAAAAATATATTTTAAATGTAATTTAATCTCACCAATCGACTTATATTTACACTTATTTTCGCTTATATATTATAAATATAGTACTTCTAACCATCTCCAAAACTATTGAATTAACCATTTATAAGAGTTCTCAGATAAAGTTTACATACCATCAAATATTTTGCAGAAGTTGCATTGTTACACATATCTTACTACCCTACACGCTAACCCATTAACACAATCAACCAAAGTTTAATTAACCATGTACCA